TATTACCCAACTGTGCCTCAGCATTACGACGAACTGACGAATCCGGTTGCAGCGTCTGACTAAGTAGCACGCTGATAGACGCCAAGTCTGTCATTGTTGACTGTAAGTGATGTGACAATAAGATCAGTAAAAATCACATACAGAATAGACCATAACTTTCGACGAAAAACCAATACAAACTAGTAAACTAAGGTAGCAAAAAACAAATATATAAATGAAACAGGGAAATAACACAGGTAGAAACGTTCAATCCATATTTACCTAAAGATATATTACCTCTGACAAAAATCAATGTACTGCCTTGTTACGAAGGTAAAAGCGTAAATATTTAATTGCTGTGCTTTAGCGATGTCTTCAGGGGAAAGATGTAAAGAGGAACTAGATTACCGCCCCATCTCTTACGTCTCCGTCCAATACTTCTGCCCCGAGAACTTCAAGGAGAGCACAGCGATGAGGAAAAATTCCTCGGTAATTAAAATGAACTACATAATACGTAAAGGCTACAACATCACTTAGAATTAAGTTGAAGCTAAGAGTTCACTATCAGGAAGGTAATTCGCTATTGCATGACGAACGACTCTAAGGTTACACTAAGAGCGCATATTATGGTAACACTAAAGATTCTAATTAACCAAATGAATGATAAAAGTGTGTCTACCAATAGCGGATATTTTAAAAGATAATTTTGAAAATCTTCACTGCACCGTTCACATTAATTTTCTTCTATCAACTTAAATGTTACAAACGCTTACCTCCGTTAAGGAGATAGAATTTCCCGAAGAATATGAAGAGAAATTGTTATTAAAATAGAGCCTATTCGTTGATAGAATCACCTATCATACAAGTTTCGTCGTTCTAAAGCAATTAAGTACATTGGCTCCATAGTATGGCTCAAATGTGGATTACCACTCCTACATTACGACTGCCGTTCCGAAGTCTCATCGCTAAAGTAGTGGCAATGAAGTCTCAACGGTGTGATTTCAAGCAGAAAACTTCTTGACTGCTGGGATGATGCTGACTTTTGGCTTTTAGGTTGATGGATCAGTGAAGCCATGAAGTACGTCAATCAAGGCAGCTTCTAGATATTACAAGTTAGAATACTGAGGCAGTACCAAAAACCAACCTCCCTTATTTGATGGTCTATCCCAATCAACACGTCCCCTCTTTAACAAAACTGATGAGGTACGGCCAAAGAAGTTTCTGCAGTACCTTTCTGTTCCCCGAAAACTTCTAAGACGACCGACTTTTCAAAAGAGTGAAAAAAAGGTGAGAACCCGAAAAAATTCATTTGATAAAAAATTTCTTAAAACTTGATATATAAATTGATAAAATAACAGTTTTGCAAAATCGAGGGCCTCAGCAAAGCCTGCCGTAGAATTCCGTTTTTTACAAACAAAAATTCAATTCAAAATTTTTTGAAGGTTTGCCAATTGCGGGAAATTTAATACGCAATACAAGCAGAAGATGGGACTAGAATGTCCATATATATATGACGGCGCC